AAAAAGAAAAGAGCCAAGAGACATTTTTTTTAATGCCATTTGCTTTATAACTGTAGAGGTTGTATTTGCGCTCGCGCGGTCGAACATGCGTTGGCCACAAACACATATCGGTGTGCACACGGTGTAAATGCAACAACATCAAATATGACTCAACAGCCAGAGAGTGTGATCGATTTGATGTTCGAGTGAAAGAGAATGAGCTGAACGCTTATTATTTATGTGATAGTCAATTTTATTATTTTATAATCAACAAACTCATGAAAATGCTATCAACACCATTTTTTCCCGTCTTCATTAATTTGTAATACAAATTCACTGCGTGAATGTGTGTGTGTTTCTATCTAAATTTGTTATATTTTTTACAATTGTATTTTCACTCAATGGGATTACTGGTTTATTTTTCATCGCTCTTCAATTGGCTGTACTCATTCATTGAAAAAGTTTATGAAAAATAAAAAACACATACAATTTATGCATTTTTCTGTGTGTTGCGACTCATCGTCAATTTCGTTTTCAATTTGTGTATGCGTGCGAGTGAGTGTGCGCGCGCGTGGTTAAACGCGCTTCTCTTATTCTTTTTGCCACTTTAAACCAGTCAATTTCAAGTAATATTCATAATTTACTTATTACATTGAAATTGCCAACAACAGAGTACAAATGACGTAAAACAACACTTTCTGGACCGTGATGCTTGTGGTGGATTTTTATTTTGTTTGAATTTGCAATATGATAGTGACGAGGTCATCGCCATCATTTGCATTCAAATGCATTGAAAATTTGCTTCGAGTCATTCGCTGACTAGTTCGCTGATCTCATTGAAAGAATTTATGCACATTTAGTTAGCGTACAAGTTGTAAGTGTAAATAGAAACATACACAACTAGTTAGCATAATAATACAAATGCATTTAAAGTGTTCATTTGTTTGGGACGAACCAAATGTAAATAAATCGTTTGATTTGATCAATGTGACAAACGAAGCACTATAAACCATTTCTTATCAAAATAGGAAAAAAATGCGTGTTTTTTCATGATTCGATAGTAAAACAAACTTTATGGCCGTCATTATAATTTGATAGCGTTTGGCCACGTAATCGACAACATCATTGCACATTCTTTTGTTGATTCGAAGCAATTCGATTGGATGACGAACAAATATAAATGAAATATGATGTCATCACTAAAAATCTTATTTATTCGATCTATTGAAATGTTGCGTTTTAATTTTCATTGATTCAAACGTCAATTCGATTATTTAATTTTTAACGACCAAAAATAGAAAATGTATTCTTTGGAATACTTTCAACTTTTCCAAACAATATGCATGTGTCTTGTTGTTTTGTTCGTTAAGATCGTCCATTCTTCTTTCATTTCTATCGTGCTGCATCAGCACGATGTCATAAGTTAATTATCGTCTTCTCATTTATATATGTTACGAAACAGAAACGCACAATCATACATTCAACTTAAATCAGAAGCTATTTAGCATATAGTCATTAAAAAAAGATGCCATTTCATTTTCAATTCCATTTCACTTCGGCGATTATAAGCCGACTTCAATGCAATCATAGAATTTATTGTGTAATTCTATTTCTCTCGAATCAGAGAGAATTAATGTTGCGTGCGCGGTGCGCATTCTTCAAAAACATCCGCTATGACAACGGATATGCGGGTTTCGTGCACTTTGCTCATATATTCAAATTTTGATTCACTGAATTTGCAAATGTAAAACTCTTCTTAACTGAATTACCATTAGCATTGAGTTATCATCGCATGTATTATGCGATGATGATGATGATGATGTGCATAATACAAACAAAACAAATATCCATTAGAAGTTACCTCTTATAGTTCCTGCATGTGTAAATGCATTGTGTTTAGTGCACAAACACTATTTTTTTTTTTTATTTAATTTATTAATGTTAATAAATTTGTGAAAATGTGAGGGAGAAAGAAGAGTGAGAAAATGAGGTAGAGACAGAGTGAAAAATATGGATTTTGCCATTTTTGAAGCAATTCTCTTCTGTTGACTTTGTACTGGCACCCATAAAACGCAACCAACGCTGCATGAAAAGCGTTGTAAATTTTGCGCGTTGTTTCACAACTGTAAATTCGCTGTCTCGAGCTTTTCATAATTAAATGCCATATTTACAATGCAGAACGGCAGAGATGAAAAAATGCATTTGTATCCATATGCCATAAATTTGGACGGTTTTTTTTTCTCTCTTCTTGTTCTTCTTTCGAAATGCCACCATGGAATGTGCTCACGAATTTGATAAAGTTGTTTACTATGTACAAAATATTTTAATCAAATTCTCGAATACAGAGCGAAACAAACGAGAGTTTTTGTTATAAATTTATGCTCACAACGTTTATGTTACAACATTCGATGGTTGGTGAGACGAAAACTATTTTTTTTTACTCTTCCAACTCATAACAAGGATTTTGATATTTCCCAGAATAAAAGAATTATGAACATTTGGGCTGTCCCGAAAATGATGAATTATGATTTTTCATTTGAGTTCTTTTTTTTCGGAATTGCAACACATAACATTTTTATTCGTTGACTTTATTACATTTTATTTATTACCGTGTAAAATAAAACTCGCTCCGGAATTAACGGTTTTGTGCAAGATCTCTTTTTTTTCTCTTGAAAAATAAAACTCGATATTGCCGACTTATGTGGAAAAAAAAAGAATTGTGGCTCGAACGTGAAAGTGTTATTATTCCATAAAACTCCTAACATCTCGATTGCACGTTATTTATGTTGAATCGAATGCATGAATTTAAACCGAAAAAAGGAGAAAAACAGACAAATAAAACTATAGACGATTTCATGTAAGAATCATATGAAACAAAAATCAAAGAGAAAAGTCCTGTCTCTGTATGATCCCAGTGACTGAGATTAAACATGATTGTTTCTGGATTTCTTATTTGACACGTGCAACGGCATTGTTTCGACAGGCGGTACATCAACAACCAGGAAGTGATGAATGCTCATCATTATTACCGAAAAGATCAATATATCTCGTCTTTGTGTTGCATTTAAAGTAAAATCTTTTTCTATCTTTGTCCGTCTCTTTCTCTTCCGACCTTTGATTTTTGGTGAAAATCGCACTTTACTTCGGTCGAACTTTTTTCCCCACTATTTTTAAGCAAGAAAAGAGCAATCAAAATAAAAATAGTTATTTTTCTAATAAAACTTTATGGCTTTTGTCTAAAAATAGTTTAACATTCGTTTCGAATTGTAAAATTTTCACCATATTATCAGATGAAACGAATTGAATTTTTCGAGAACGCTTTACGATATAAATTGTATGAGTATTGATTTTCTTTAAAAACTGTTGCGATTATTCTCAAATTTCCTATTTTTATTCTTATATCTCGAGCAAGTGTTGTATCGTGCCAACGGGGAAAACAAAATAAGGTGCATCAATTAACGTACGGGTTTGTGTTCATCATTTGAATTGGTACGACAAATGTAGACTTCTTTCAAAATGGGTGTCTGTTATGTCTGGATCCACAAAAATTTCATGCGCACGGCAATGCCATTGCGTCGTTATAGATTTTATATTTAAAAAGATCTACGTAAAACAAATGTGACAAAGAAAGACGCACCTTTAGACATTTTTAAATTGCATTCAGAAAGTGCATTTGTTGCGCACATGTGCCATCAAAGAAGAGCGTGTATAAATGTATACATATATATTCATAATAATGGTTTAAAATGGTAATTGAGCGACTGTGATTCGGTTTCATGTTTTCACATTGAATGAAAATAAAAACTGGTAAACAGAACGCACACGCACCGGTGTGTTTATTTTGATCGTTTGTTCTTACATTTCATTCTCGTTTTTTTTTCTCAACAAATTAATTGTGAACATATGTCAAAAGTTTGGGCTCCTCCAAAATATAAACATGCCAATAGCCGGCGGTGTGTTTTTTTGTCTCATTTTCCATTTTTATGGTATTTGTCTCGATATCTGTGCGGGAAGAATCTGTAAATAAACAAAAAACGAGGCGCTAGATGTATTAAGAAGAGGAAGAAAATAAACAGGCGGAACTGATATACACACACGTGTATATCTACACATTTTGATTTCACTTCATTCAAATGAATTTATAAAGTAACACAACAGAAGAAAGGAAAAGAAAAACAACGGCTACACATCAGAATGCAAAAGGCAAAACACCGAAACGCATGTTTCACATTTGGCCTGCGGGTACATTGTACTTCGATTCCATTGATTGAATCGCACATATATAAACATTATACATAAATACACATCGTTGAAAACACCATAAATTGAGTCGGTTCTCTTATTTCGCATTTCATATGTACAACTTCACAGTTCACACTCACTCGATAAATGATTGATTGATTTGATTACGAGCACACACACTCTTTCGTTTTCCGTTCTCTTTTTTCTTGCTGTTTTTCTATTCGTATCGTTGAATTTATTTCCAAAAATACTGGATGCATTATAAATAGAATTGAATTTTGTATTCGCCTTTAATAACAATGTATGCGACAAATGATATGAAATATATTCCGGTATTCACGGATGTCATATTTGAAAATTCTAAATCAATGACGAACGAGTATAAATATTGAAAATTCCAATTTTTGTTATCGCTAAAAAAAGATCGCTGTTATCAATTTGGTAAACGGTTGTAGTAAGACTCACAGAGACATATCGTGACACATTGTAGGGCCGAGAGATTTATGTGTTTGTGACGCAACCCAAAGAATATTTTTGAAAGCAAAAACAACACATACCTGTCACATGACAACGAATGGAAGTTTGAAAATAACATTTGAGGTTATCTTTTAATTCGTTAAAGCGAGAAATATATGTGCGTTAATCCTCGTCTGTATGACGTTTTCAAGAGTGTTGATTAAAAACACTTTAAATTGTGTATTTTTAATCATATTTTTTCGTTCTATTTGTATTTCGTTATTTTCATTTTGCTAATTTTAATGTTTTTGTCATTATCACAGGTATTTACTATACTGAAAGCCGCTTGTAACGAGTAAATGACGACTGATTCGATTGATTTACACCTTTTGGCTGAAGAAAACCGATAAGAAGACAACAAAGAAAAAGAAAGTAAACCGAATCACAGTGTAAAAAGGAGTGGTTAGATCAAGTTTTGAGTTTATTTTTCATTCTGATTGAGTAATAAACACACAGACAACATAGTCATATCGCTACTTATCAATGCCCAGAATCGATGTGAACAATGGTAGTTGTCGGAATGACAAAATTGCAACGAAATCAAGTTTCATTAAAAGTTTGAATGGAATTTTGGAAAATTCATATCAAAATTTTAGCGACATTGAATCATCAACGCAAAGTGGTAAATTTCATTCGCCGAAAGTATTTGCTGCCGATTCAATAACGGTAAATGCACCCGCAAAAGATGTGCTTGGGCCAAAATTCGATATATTCGCGCGAAATTTGAAATCACAAACGATGCCGGCCGAAAGTACAGTATTGACAAAGATCAATGGCACTGCCAATGGTACGGTAAACGGTCATTTAATGAATAGTATAACAAATGGAACGACAAATGGCCAACCAAAGCTACAACCATTATCCGCATGTTATGATCGTTATCCAAAACCCGGTTCATATGGTAGCCTTCAAGTATTTCCAATGAACGGAATCAATTCGGAGATAAACAATGCCAAAGAGAATATTTGTGACGATTTTCGACAACCGCAACTGCAACCGCAACCGCCATCACATCGACACAAAGACGAGCGAAAAACTGATCAAGATGATATTGCAAAATTGGAACAAGATCGACTTGAAGAGATATTAAAAATGTGCGCCGATTTTGAGCGACAAAATCAAAATGTTCAATCATCACCAATTGTACAAAATCGCATCAAAACGAACGGTTCATTGCCGCGTGAAAAGAAATCACCGCTTAGTCCAGAGCATATTGGTGGCACCGCAAATATTTTCTTTCCATCAAGCCCGGGCGAATTTCGGCAAAATAATTCAAATCAACCATCTTCACCTCATACACCACATAAAATAAATACCGGCTATGAAAATGTGAAACTATTTGCGGGCCGAAAAACTGATTTATCATCATCACCATCGTCATCATCTAGTCGATTCAACGAGAGTACACCACAAAAACCACCAATCGATTCATTACATTTGACGAATGGCAATTCAATGAATGGATATGAAAATATGATGTCTCCGTTTAAATCGCCCATTGGTTATGTGCCACAAAGTCCACGTACACGAATTAAAACATGCATTTCACCCAAAAAGGAGATGACATCTACGCCAATTCAACGCAAGACTGATTATGATCTACTGGTTCAATCGTTTGAAGAAAAACTTCGCATGGAAGTTCAACAATTACGCGACAGCAACAATCGTAGCATTGACAATCGAATTAGTCAGAATACATGCCAAATAAACCAAAAATCCGAAACAAATCCATCTGAACCACCACAACCACCACCAAAATCAATACCACAACAACAACAGCATACCCCAACAAAAATATCACAGCTACCAAACTCACATCAATATGTGAATGTAAACCGTTTAACAAATTTACAAGAGGGTATCTATGGATCACTTACCAATAAACATAACCACAAAAGCAACAACCATTCAACTGTAAGCATTAACAAGAATTTAGATGAAAAACAAATTGCTCAATTAAAAAAACAACAAGCCGAAATGGTGAGAAAAGCAAGAGAACTGAAACAACAAATTGCCGAATTGCAGCGACAAGAGGAAGAGGTATTGACAGAGGTAAATTCATGAGGACATAGTTTTTCTTTTTCATTTTTCATCATTTTCTCTAAACAAATCTAATGATATTCTCCGTTCAATTTCAGCTGGATTTGGAAAAGGCACTTGTATCGGCCGAATTACGAACTGAACAATCACAACTTGATGAAATGGATAAAAATATGGCCGCACTACAAACCACCATCCATCGTTCCGAAGCGCAAAGGAATGCAAAACGGGTTTTACAGGAGACACAACAAAATAAATTGAAACAATCAATCGATATGAAACAAAATCAAATCGAAGGGTAAGTACCACATTCCATTTCACCCAGCGTTTTGTCCGTGTTTGAATAATAATTTGTCTTTCTTTCTTTTCAGATTGAAAAAGTTAATCGACGAAAATGAAAGCGAAACCGAACTGAAGGATGAACTGAATGACACCATTGAACTATTAGAAAATGATACAAAAACGTTTGAAGATTTGGAATTTCAGTATTTGGAAGAAGAAACCGATTGGATGGCAAAACGTGAAGAAATGCATATCAATCAAAAGACCTTATCGCGTCAAATAAATGAAAAGCGAAAGCACATACAAGCATTAGAGGCGCAAAGTGTCGAGAATCAGAATGCAGCATGTGCAGACACAAAAAATATACAAAAAGATATTCAATCAATGATAAAAGAGCTTAATAACCATTGCGAAGGATTGAAGACCATTGAAGTTCTGCTGTTTGAATTGTCGGGCGAAAAAAATACACAATCCGATTCAGATGATGATCTTTCGATTGCAATTTTGCCCATCAAACGTCCGCACATGAATGACATTATGTCACAATCATTGTTTGGTTCACAAGAGATTTTTGGCACAAAAAAACCAACGTCAAATGATTTAATGTCGAAAAGTGTGAATGAAAATTTAATCGCAAACAAAATTGAAATGCTATCATTTAATGATGAATCAATGACCAAAGCCAATAATGAAACTGACTATGAAAATTTATGCGATGTGGACAATAATGAGAAAAGAGACAGTATGACATCGTATACATCAAATAAATCATCGAATGAGATGGCAATTCAACAACAAAATGGTAACGGAAATGAATGTATGTCACAGATTGAATGTGAAAAGTCACACGCGTCGATGGTCGATGAAAATTCAACGATGACCAATGGTGATGATGACGAATGTTCAGATCCATTACAAAATCTAAAATACAATCTATCACCACCATTTGAGCATAAAGCATCGAAAAAATTGAACGATTCAAACGGTTCAAAGTCGGCAAATTTAAATTTATCCATTGAAAGTGATGACTTCGAGGTGAATCCACTGGAGAAACGAGTTCCATCACAAGATGATATCGATCGAATCTGTAAGGTTACCACCAACGCACCGATCTCAACGCAAGGCGCCAGTTTTAAAGTGATCGAAAGTATCAAAGAAATCGAACGAAATCGTCAACTATTACTCACTCAACAAGGTAAACACATTCCGATTTTGCTTTTTGTTCACAGCCCATTTACGTTTAATGGGTGTGTGTGAATAAAGAAGAAAAAAAAATTGCAATTATATAAAAAAAATGATGATGGAATTTTCAAAATGTATGTATTTCGATAGGTTCTCATGTAATCGAGCACGAACGACAGAAAATGAGCGAATTGAAGAAAAAAAGCCATGACGAGGCTCGTGCACAATACCTTCAATCGCAAAACCATAACGATGATAGGTAATTGAACTGAAACGACAACATAATTTGCATTTATAACATCTAAAATTATTATAAATAACGTAAAACAAAACCAACATACACCGAAACAAAATAAAAATCAACTGGGTTTGCCCTATCTGACATTTCCGTCATAGCGACAAACGAATAGAACGATATAGAGAAAAAATATACAGAGAGCATGAGAGCGAGAAATGGCAGTGATTCATCCATTCATGTTTCATTATTGATGAATTGCTGTCGAAAACGATCGTATAGCACAAATAAGTAAACAAAACTAATAAAAATATTGCTTTTCATTATGCAATATGGTTTTATCTCTATTCAACAGCTCCGTTACTGATAAAAATCGTCGACGTTTCGAAGAAATTCCATCAAATCGAATCGGACGGGTGCGTTTATCGACAAACCAGTTCGCACACACTCAGCGGCCGATTCAGTTTCGATCTGATCGTACATCGTGTTGTGCACATTTGAACTGGACCCTGTTTCGCACTCTCAATCGACACAAGTACACACGTATACGGTTTTATGTAAATGATGCATCAATTAAGTGCGATTGCGAAGCGACATTCACTTGGCATTTTGTTTGCCCTTTTCATTTATAGTTCAGTACTTAGTATGTTTTATTAGTCATTTGGACGGTGATCACTGGTGTGAAAATTAAACAAGTGTTTTTATTTGATCGAAAGAAAGTAGAAAAAAATTCGTCTGTTTATCTTTTTCTTTGTTACAAAATTTTTAATTCAAACATGAATTCTAAACGAATGAAGTATCTGATTTGTGGGTAATTTCCAGTTTTAAAAGCAATTGTGCAAACATTTTTGTTGTCAGTCAAACATCTTTTGCGCAAAAGTATATTTTGTGTGTATTTATGGGTTTTTTTTTACAAATCGCCCGTACTTTGTTAAATCAATGTTTTCAGGCGTTTCACGAAAACAATTATTCCATTGAGTCTATTCGCCTCTTTTTTTTACAGTTATCGCTATAAAAATGGTTCGTTGGAAAATGTAAACAACATAAAATATGAGCCATACCATAGACCCGAAATGAATGGAAAACCACCAAATAACACAGTTGCTCAGCTCAGAGAAAACATTTACCATAGTCCGGTAAGTATAAGAAAAAATTGTTTGTGCGAAATTCTTAAAAATAGATGTTCCATTGTTATATTAATTCGGTTAAAAAATGGCTTGTCTTCGCCAACAATGTGTCAATGACTTCAATGACAAATCGATGAAATGTGAATATCTTCCAAAAATAGGTGAAACATGTGCAAAAATACATTGTAAACAAATCAATCAAAAGCCAAAATTCATTTTCTGTGTGACGGTTATTAAATGTGAAAAATTATTTCCTGCGTTTTATTTTGTGTGTCGTGTTCAAAAAGAATATCCGATGAAAATCTTTGGCAAATATGTATCAATGTAGCAAAAATGTGTAAGGAATTAAGGTGTTGTTTTTATGGCAACAATCCAGTTAAATAAATCCACATAGTGTAATTTATGAATGAAACATCGATCACACGATGTTAACAGAGCCAATAAGATGTTAAGACAATAAAATAAATTCTTTTCATTTGTTTGAAACATCATTAAACAACTCTAACATCGAACCGTTCATCACATTGTAAACTAGGCGAGAGAGAGGAAAGAAAAAGACGAACACTTTCTTGTTCACGTTAATAAATGCGTGTATTTTGTCAATTTTAGCGTATTTTGTGCATGTGATCATGTCATTTGAGTAGCTACTGATCAAAAGAGCATTTTAAAATGTGTGCTTTTCTGTTTTGTTTCATGTATTCTGACCACTTGCTTTGTTCATATCATCAATGTTTTTGTTTTTCGCAATGATCACGTCTCACACATTTCGGATCGTGTTAATCATCAATTGTGTCTGTCTTTATCTCAATCTCGTTGAGATGAGAGAGAGCCAAATCATAAATTCAGTTTTTTGTTGTTGTTGTTCTTCTGTGTTTCACTTTTGACGATAGAAAAGAATTTAATTTTAAAAATTCCCCGCTAAACGGTTGACAATGAACAAATATCATCTCACATGCGCGCATATTCGAATGAAGATATAAATAATTTGAACAAAAAATCCAACAGACAATACGGATCCTGTGTGCAAAATCTCATCGGGCATGAATGTGGCTTATTTTTCTGTTTTGGTACACATCTTTTATATGCTTTTACTGTTATTGCAAAATCACAACTCAATTTACGGGCGTGCTCCTCATTCCAACTTGGACGAAGAATTTCAGTCCTTTCGCGAGTGTACACACGATCGGAAGTTTCTTCAAGAGAACACTTTGTACTTTGGCTATGCAAACAACTCTTTTTTCATAGAAATTATTAGGGAAGAAAATTACAAAAGCCAAACGCTATTAGTTAGAGTACATTTTGTAAAAAAAAAACACGTTTTTGCAATTAAAATTAATCGTTTATATCGTGTTAAGTACATTAGAAACAGAAGTGCTCAATTGTTTTTGGTGGAATTGAAATAGAAAAAAATCGACAAAAAAATGGCGGTTTGGATGAGATATGCACATCGACGACGTTCAGCGTCAAGAAATAGTCATGATTTTTCAAAGGTAAAAAAAATCCGTTACAAAATTACTGATGATTTCTTTTTTCATTAAATTTGCGTCAAATGCACCGTCAATTTTGATCGGTGTATAGAATAAGTTAAATAAATCCAGATGACAGTACTGCGAAATATTCATTTAAAAAACACACTTGTTACGAATCATTCATTTCCGTTTTGACATTCTTCGATAGAGACCATTATTTATGGGAATTAAATGGCGTCAAACATCGAAAAGAAAACAACAAATGTGCCATAAGTGTTATGAGAGTTGGGAGTCGTTGTCATTTATTATTATTATACCAGAAAACTGGGGAAAAATCCGTAATAAATTGAATTTTTCGAAAAAAAATTAAAAAAAAGAAGAAAAATCAGAGAAAAATCTATTACAGCTAATGGTCATCGATTTATTATGGGTTGTTATATTGCTTTAGTAATTGCTAATAATCGTAACGTGGACATTTAGGATAAAAGTCACGTAAATGAAATTATCACACACACACACAAACTCGAAATTATTATTATTATCAAGTTGAGAAATGATCATTGGATCGCGCGCACGCCCGTCTAGTCAGGCTATTTATAATTTGGAGTCTATGAATCCATCGTCAAGTGAATGATTCGTCAGCTGGTTTTGATGCATGTGACGCATTTTGCTCGTTTGAATTTAAATGCCAAATGGATTTTTTCTTTGTTTACATTCGAATGTCAAAAGACCGAAAATACTCAATATGTTTCAGTATGTGAAAGAACCGAGTGCCAACTGAGATTGCGTGTTCACAATCTCGTCAATACGCACAACAATCAACAAAAGTGATGTGTTGTTTTGTATTTAATCTCAATTTAGTGGCGAGTGCTATTGTTTGTTGTGAACACAAATAGAAAATGGCGTTGACAGCGAGAATTTATGAAATGTTACGATAAATGGATGGCACATGATTGAGATTTGCTATTTTTGCGTTCAACCACTATAATAAGCACATTTTCTTTTATTCTATCTCTTTCACTGTCCAGATATTTTATTGTATCATCAGATTGTCATTGGCCAATTGTTTATGAGTTTCCATTTCCAACAAAATTCTCATCGTGCACATTTTTATTTTCATCTCAATAAAAAAAAAACCATAATTTTTTTCATCATATTCTTTCTAATTCATTCTATTATTAGCGACATTCACATCCAGAATTTGAATACGAACGACCGTTGTCCGAAGTAAATTCAGAAATTAGCTATGATGCATTGTCCGATAAGCAATTTAAATCATCGAATGACATTCGTATGTCAAATCGCATGCAAGTTGATTGTGATGGGAGTGGCGGTAGTCAACGGGGTAGCATGATGTCAAGTGAAAACAGCGAATCGGGACGAATGGTGTCGGGCACAAGACGCAATTTACCAAAACATCAACGACCATTAACACGTTATTTACCCATTATGTCGGCCGATTTGGATCTAAGACTGCATATCGAGAGCGCTGGCCATCAAGTTACACTCTGCCCACACGTTATTATTGATTCATATTCGTGTCGCGGGTATATATTCACAACCATATTTTATTCGTCCACAAAATTCATTTTATCGTTTGTTTTCTTCAATATTTCAGATATCTTCATAAATTGGGCGCGACATTCCATGGCTGGTCAAAGAGGTGGTTTGTTCTCGATCGACAAAAAATGGCTCTCATATATTATTCAGATAAATCAGAACGAAAACCAAGAGGTGGAGCCTATTTTTCGGTTAGTCATTACTTTTTTCGAATTTAAATGCGAAACAATATAATTTTTTGAAAGAAAAAAAAAGAAAACTTTGATTCTAACAAAACTTCATTTCCGCAGACCATTGATGAGGTGTATTTGGATCATTTGAATACATCGAAAAGTGGCCGACCACATTGCACATTCATTGTAAAAACAAAACGACGCAGCTACCACTTACAGGCCGCATCTGATGCAGCTGCACGAATCTGGATTGACGCCATCATCACAGGAGCTCAAGGAAATATCGATTATTAATTCGCATAAATATAAACAATTTGACGTTTTGGCATTGTAACGCCAGTAATAATATATATATTTACATGTAAAAAAATGGGCAGATATACAAACAATCGCACCTTTATTGCTAAAATTATATCCCCAAATGTTGTACTCCATTTTCACAATTTTTATGAGAGTTCTGATTAAATACGAATAATTGTATAGTAGGAGGCCACTTTTGGTTAACCAGATAGAGAATTTAAAAAAAAACTGTATTTTCCCGCATGTGTTTGTAAATATTAGATTGAAAATTTAAATGCCCACTGCGAAAATTGTATCCATCACATCAAAGAAACGAAGGAAAATTCAATCCCTAGTGTTTAGCATTAATTTTAATTAAATTGTTTATATGTTTCTCTCCGGATCGAAATTAAAGTAAACAACGTTCCTAATCCAAAAAATTCGATTTCCACACTGTAATATTTTTTTTTACATAAGAAATCCAAACAAATATTGTGCCTACATTTTTCAATACTTTTTTTTTACTAAAGGACAAAAATATTCTAACACAAGTAATTAAGGAGTTTACAATCGGAAATGCCTTTCAATAAAATGTTCTAATATACGCTCCATGCATATTCATGGCGGTGAAATCAATTCGAATAAAAGAAAACTTGCATCAAGTACTTTTATCGCATGCAATAAATCGAAATATGCAATTTGGAACATGCATCGATTAAAATCAATGACTATAGGAAGAAATCGAACATTTTTAATGAGTTTTTAATAAATAGTTAAATTCATCAGTTTGTCTACCTTAATTGGCACAAAATTGAATGCACCAATGCTTATGATAATAGTCAATTGTGTCCTCATATTTATATGGTATTATTGAACGGTGCATCAAAGAAGTATAATCAAAATAACGGATGATGACATATAAACTTTTAGTTTTATTGCATACAATTAAACAGAGCACATTTCAAATGAATCAACACCATATCGTATAAGTTTTACTTTATTTTATTTTATTTTATTTTATGAATGTAATGGCATTTTTTTTTTTCGAACATAAAATAAATAAATCAATAAATACATCTTATCACGTATGAGGTTTTGTTTGATAACATTTTTCATTAAACTAATATCCCGCAGCTCACGATTATGACTAGTGATGATCAATTTAATAGTTTCATATTTATTTCGACTCATATAAAAAAAAAACTCAAGTCGAAATTCACAAATGATAACTAAAATATGAATAAACATTCCTATCACAGATTTTTGTCTTTTTGCTTACATCTGATGTCTTCAAATACTGTGGTTTGTGAATGAAATAAAAATTCTTAATTTGCCAAAACAATTTCTCGGATCCATTGCGTATATTCACTGACGCCTGTAAATTCACAAGTTCATATGGTTTAAAAAAATGATTGAATTTAAAATTAAAAAATAAGAATTCAATGATAAATGTTACGTGTGTAAATGCCCGGTAGACCAGGTCTTGCACATCCAATTCCGGTTGATACAATACCAATCAAACCATCATCACCTGTTGAAACCATTGGACCACCTGAGTCGGCCCAACAAGCATCCACACCGCCTGACCTTTTACCTGCGCACATTTGGGTCGATTGAATTGTTTTCATTTTTTTCTGTTGGTCGAACGATGCTTGACATTCGTAGTTACTCCAAACTCGTACCTCAGCTATTTGTAGAATATCAGGTCTGGTTCCTGCTTTTTTAGATATATATTTTCGATTTAAAATCAAAAATTTCGAAAAAAAAAAATAGTAAAATTTAAAATGTTTACCAATGTTAAATTCTTCGTCCAAGTTGCCCCAACCTGAATGAACAAAAAAACGACCAACAAAAAAATTTAACGAACGACATAAAATGGAATTTTGACTGAATCATGATTCTGTCTAACCTGATATAAAAGCCGCTTCGTTGTCATAGGTCTTGTTTTTGCCATTGGATGAAATGCAGATTGGTTGTACACTTTTGCTGAATTTAATCGGTTGACTTAGTTCAAGCAGAGCTTCAAACAAAAAACAAAAAAAAAAAAAACAAAAGTGAAACCATTCCAAATAACTGTGTTCTGATTCAATCGAGAAATCGGGTTTTTGTGTTACCAATATCGTTATCAGGTCGCTTGCATTCGTAATTCGGATGAACGACAATGTTGCGAAATTGAATTTCATAAGCTTTTTCAAATGAATCGTTGATTGTGTTATCGTCTTTGTGTTTAAATTCCGATATTGCGTGTAACCCTACAATCGCCCGTATACGATGAGGCGGCATTATTTCGTCAAAGCCACTGTAGCAATATTATTTGTTTTAAAATACTATTGCTATCAAGTTCAAGGTTTCCATTTAAAGAAACAAAATCAAAACAAAGCAAAAAGTAACACACTCACGTGCAAACACAATGTGCAGCTGTCACGAGCCATTGTTCATTGATAATGGACGCGCCTGAAACGCAAAACAAACCAAAAATCGACCAAAAAATAAATAAATAAATAAATGGAATTTTGACTGAATCATGATTGTATCTAACCGCAATAATGTCCACCACGTCGCGTCAAACTGGCCATGAATGGCATGGAACCACGTACTGCATTTGTCCCGCCAATAATTCGGCCATCGCGAATATTTATCGCTTGACAGGGCGCCGATGACACTATAAATCATTTACAAAACAGACAAATTCATGTGATAAAAATTGTCGCGGAAAATTTTTCCCGTATGAAATGACACGATTATGAACGGAAAAGAGTTACATAAATGACAAAATATTTAACATTGTGATAATGCGATAAGAATACAGTAACAATTCATAGATTGCCTTGTCATTCACCTTCAAATTGAAACTTTTATCGTCTCTAATAATCCGTTATTGAATTTTCAATGTGTGATTCGGATTTTAAGTTATGAGGTGTGCAACGATTTCAAAACGATTTGTCTGGATTTTTGTTTTGTTTTTGTTTTGATGCAGCAAGCGAAACAAATCCAAACATTCTAACGATACACGTGTGATATAACGTGTTAAAATTATCTAACGACCATGCGGGCCAACGACAAAATGATACTAGCGATTAATTGGAAAATGCGACTTATTTTTAACCCAGACACGCAGGAAAAATCATTAAATTTATCATTCGCTGACAAAAACATATCGAGCTATTTATATATACCGTATATTTATTCGTATATTTAAATGTTATTTTTGGTAATGTCGAAACCTAGGGGGTAGACACAAACTCGAATCTTAATAAAAGAATAGAAGAAATGAACATGCTATATGCGTTTTACTACAAAAAAAGCTGAGAAAAATAGCAACACTAAGCCTGTGCCTCTCCCCTTGGTCGAAACTCAACCGATTTCCCACGAAATCTCATCAAAGTGATAATTTCGAATTAAAAATAATATTCTTGTGGTTTGTATACTATTTTTCAAGATCAAAATATAAACAACGGGTGATGAAAGCAATAGCTTATATTTATTTACATCTATTGAAATTATCTAGTTTTGATGTTGATGCTGAATAAATCACATGGACACTTTTAGTACACAATATAAAACGGCTTTTTAACGCTCTAGGTTAAATATCACATATGTGGTACGGCACTCAAACTGTTTGCTGTTTAAATTACAGTTGAGATTTCAACATATTTAACAAGTAAAAAACCAATCCAAATCCTATACTAAATTTGGAACGACCAATCCTTGAGCCGCTTTCATATTTAAAATAAAATTTACGATTCAATTCATCAAACATATAATTAAAGAAATTATGTCGCTTTGAATCCCTTTATACACATTTCTATCTATCTGTCGTATTCTATCTTCCTTTTCATCTTATCGCATTAATTGTCAAATAAACAGACAATATATTTAGCTGCCGTCATCTGGATGCCGTCAGCAGATGATGCGAAGTGAAAACAATAGAAGTGATTGTTATAGTAATACCAGTATATAACAAGCTTATATACCTATAACAAACACTTATATTTTTTTCACTTCGCATCATCTGCTGACAGCATCCACATGACGGCAGCTAAATATATTCTCTGCAAATAAAATATAAAACCTTTGTTTCTATACGGTATGATCTCTTTTATGAATTATTTTCAAAAATATTTTGTTGAAGCCCCGGGAGAGAGAACAAAAATGGCAAAAATCCAAAACAAATAACTTACGGCTTAGTTGAGCATCGGCACAGATTAAAATCAACACCAACACCTCACACATTAAATAAAACTTCATCATTTTCAGTGGGAAAATTGTACTAAAATTTATGGTGTTTACTTATTTCCTTCCGTTTAAAGTTGTTGAAAATATTAAGCGAAAATTAAACGTTGCGCAAAATTGCTCAATATTCGAGGAAGGAAGCTAAGTGAACACCGGAATATAACTAACGAAGTTTTCACTGCGCACCGCTTATTTATAAAAATATCGATAAAGAAAACTTGGTTTGTTTGGTGTAGAAAAAAAAACAGCCGGTACCTGTTCCACGTGCGAATGCGTTACCACCATGAGATTCGTTACAAATGTTGCGAACAATAAGTGTTGATTTTGTTTCGTATTTTTGTTTTGGTTCCAAATTTTAACCTTGATCATTTGACGATTAGCGATCATTGGTTTTTGAACTATTTCCAAAATACATAAACGACATTATACGTCTATTTATCGAAATTCGTGTGAACCATGCCAAAAATTTAAAATGCGCTACATGTTTTTATGACGGTTCAAATAGGTACACATGAAAAAGTCAGTGACTCATATTGTTTTGTCTTCATATTGTATGCGTTTTTTTCATCAAGTTTAAATTAACAATCGAAAATAAAAAATAAATTCAGACGAGCACATTGTTATCAGAATAGTGCTTATTGATGTTTTTGACACTCATTCTCTTCCGGCCTCTGCTGCACGATCCTCAACAAAACATTGAATGAAACAGTCATTGAAGTTGAACCCAAATACACCAAAAGAGCAATAGACTTACAATCGAGATCTCAAATTTAAAGAGAAAAAACAAATTTAAAATTTGAAAACAATTGAATCGGCTTTTGTTTGAAATTTTGTTTCAGATAGTTTGAATTTCTCGTGCGAAATATGTTTATATGTTCAATTGATTTCAACTTATTTTGGAAAAAATTTCTTTGTTGAAATTTTCATTTATATACAACTCCTTAAATTGATGTGTATAAGAGGGCTTGAAAAAGCCACTGGAACTTCCGTGACCGAACCGTATCGTCTATCTCCAAAATTTGCAGCTTTGGCAGTGATAATTCGCATTTATTATTACTATTCTAATTACGATAATATTTTAAAAATACGCGATGACATCTTATTTTTATTTACCAGATAGTTTAAGTAAAGATTTTTTATTAGTCTATTGTTATCAGTTTGTTATTATTAGTTTTAGTTGTAATTTTAGCGTTATGACGTCAACAAATTATTACTTTCACGTATCAAAATTGGTGATAGAGTAAAATGAGTAAAATCAATTATATGTTTATTATTATTATTATCATCATTTGTTACAACTTACTTCTTTTTTAAATTGTCTTCTTAAAAAAACATTTTTTATGGCTCACGTAATTTCATTAAACTACGTCATAATGTTCGTTTTTTTGATAAAACAACAGATTTTAAAGATGTGCGTATAATTATTTTATTGAATAGTTGATTGCTCTAGAATAATAACAGCATATTAACGGTCGCATATCAACGCGAAACCAAACGTTTTTTTTTTTCATATAGATTTGTTGTTGTAATTCATCTAAATCCATGTAAAAAACGTCAGTTAATATGCTGTTTTTATTCTAGAGCAATCAGTTAATGATTATTGCGACCAATGAGAAAATTTTATTCGAACGCTGAAGACATCGCATCAGACGTATGATTTTGCTGGAATAGCTGCTGTTGAAAATAACAGCTGGAAATGCCGGCTAAGTAGATGCGCGTCTGCGGTATGTGTTTATTGTGGTAGACTGTTTTTGCGCGCTAGACTTTACACGTATCGTAAAAAATGACGTACCTCAGACGTGCATCGACTTAGCCGCTATTTTTAGCAGCGGCTATTTATCGGGCATAATCATACGTCTAAACCGCCCTATCTCTATTCTGATATCTGTATTTCTAAAATTAAGTAATTTCCTCATTTATAATAGCAATTAGAGAGAAAAGTTATATAATCAAAGTGCGTATGATTGATAACACATTTATGATAACTGGAAAAAATCAGATAAATATGGCAAGCAATTTAGAAGAAAGAATCAGTACATTCGAAGCTTTTGATTTCAAGAAAAGACTTAAAAATCGGTTTACCGAGTATAAAACTTAAATTAATCAAACAGAAGAAAAAAACGAAAAAACAATTAAGATGCAAAAGTTATTTGCAATTTTCGTAGTAATTGGCGCCATTAATGCGGCACACATCAGAGATACACAGTCTGGCTCAATCACTGAAAGCCCAGTCGAAGTTTCAAGTCAAGGCTCATTCACCGAACTTCCTATTGAGGTCTCAAGCGAAAGTTCATTCACCGAAATTCCAGCCGATGTTTCAAGCGTAAGCCCAAATGGTCACGGAGTCAATAATCGCTGCCTCGTTGGAACCTTAAGAAGCGATTATTGTCATGACTTGGAATCTGTTGTCTGTCATATGAATGCGACCGATGTTTTGAAGGTTGTGAATCATTGCGTCGATGACAATTCATCCACCGAAGACGACAACTCATCCATCGAAGACGACAACTCATCCGAAGAAGACGACAACTCATCCGAAGAAGACAACTCAACCGAAGAAGACAACGCATCCACCGAAGATGCAAGTACTAAGACAGTCGATATACGCTGCCTCGTTAAATATCTTGAAATGGGACCTCTTGATCATCAATTGGACCAATCGGTCGTATTGGATTACGTACAGTCTTGCGTCGATGACACCCCAGTCACCGAAGTTTCAGTCGAAGTTTCAAGTCAAGACTCATTCACCGAACTTCCTATTGAGGTCTCAAGCGAAAGTTCATTCTTTACTATTATACAAGACAATGATGTAACAAGCGAAAAACCAAAAAACTAAATAAAATCTAATCGTTTTACGTATTTCGCATAAATACTTTATTATTTGTAATCACTTCATCGGCCAATAATTTTTCTTTGCCATAATTTACATAAATGTTCAATGTTACATGTAAATATGTTGTTTTTGTTTTATTAAATTACAATAAATATTGTGATTTGCTCTTTATTTAAAATGTTTGCATAATAATTCTTAAATTTGTTCTATTTTCCATTCACTTTGTCCATGTCATATTTACTTTTGAACTTAATCGATAAGGTTTATTTTTCTTACAATTCGAATCGATTGCCCGTGATAATTGGACAACAAAAAAAAATATTCTACCAGATTTATTATGTTTTTCCTTGCATTAGTTTTTGTCTGTCTTTTTGTTAATCCAAACTTATTAGCCACAACCAGATTTTTTTCTTCTTTTAACTTACAAAAGAATCGAATCTCAATAACTTTCTTTGATATTTTCTGTTTTATTTTTCTCTTCCGGTAAGTATTCCAGATCAATTGTTATATATTTTTCTTCTCTCTTTTTTATTCATTTTATTCAGTATATAAGATTATATAACATAATCTACGATTTTTAATTTACTTAAAAAATATAAAAAAATCCATCGGAACAAATTTGAATCCGAATGAGAGTCTATGTTGTGTATGTATGTATGTGTGTGTGTTGTTGATAAGTAAGCAAAAAAATTCTATTGCACGAATCTTGTATGTAATTAGGCCTTTGAAAATATACAAACATGAATATTTTCAATAGTTTCGTACTTAAATAAAAACAACCGAAGAAAAATTCAAATAAACTTATTTATCCAATAGTTTCTTCTAGATTTACAACCTAAACAAATCAGTGTGATTTTGAATCAAGCAAATTTCTTTTCAAACGAATCAATAATTAAAAGAAATAATGAACTATGGTTGACTATAATTTTTTTGTTTGTTGTTATAATGAAGTGAGTGAGTGATAAACCAAATTCAACAAGAAAAAAAAATAACTCAACACTTTCTGATCAATAATCTTAAGTTGCGAATGAATGATGACGAATTGTTACCATTTCATTTAATATTACACCACAATAAATATTACACCTTGTTTTTGAATTTCTTTCATTTGGTAATTGTTTTTTATTTTATTTTTTTTTTTGTAAATTTTTTCTTCTTTTTAAATTGTTTTGTCAGTTTTTCGTTACGAAATACTCTGTATCAATACAAATACCTATTATATTTGTTATTTTGTTATCTTTTTTTTAAATGTTTATTTTCTTTTATATAACTCGGCCACCATTAAATGTTCGGTCAAATCCCCTTAAACGTTATGACTTTAAAAAAATAAAATTTGGGACTCTCAAGCGAAAGGTTCCTAAGAAATCTCTTTCAAATAAAATGCACAACTAAAACATTTGCACTAAATTCATCTTCATTAGATTTTTTTTCTTGTTTCGTTTAGCCTGTGTTTTTTGTTTTGTTTCAAATAAAACTCCCTATCTACGTGAAAGCGGTGGCAATGCCAATTCAAGTTCAATTGATTTGCTAACATAACTAAATTAAAATATTTAAATTCTACGGTGGAAATAAATCTCAATTTAACAGAATCATATTTTGTTTTTCTCGTAACAAGCCAAAATAAAATGTTTTTTTTTTCATCGAACAATTTGAGTTCGATCTGATTTATAATGATGGCAAATGAAACCTGAATTTTGTTTGTCTGAAATTTCAATGAAGAAAATATATATCCTATTTACTATTTTAACTTTGAATAAATAAAATTGGAAATGAAAAGGCTTGAATTTCTATCTTAACTTGTATATATGGTATACTTCTTTCAAAGCAACGGAAATAAACATTTAAAATCATATAATACTTGATGTTCACAACACACATCTTTAAATATCAATCATTATATACTGAAGTTCATGTAGACGTTTGGAAAAATCAAATGAAATGGCACGCTTTTTCTCTCTATTCAAAATGCTTAATTTAATATTTCAATGATTTAAAGCTTTTTCTTATTAATTATAAGAATTCATATCATAATATTTACGTTCCCCGATGAAAATAAAATTACTGTCTGACTGAAATTCAAATTCACCAATAGTGTTTTGGCGAAATTTTCACATGGAAAAATGAACTATTTCGAGTGAGTCGACTATTTTGAGTGAAACTGTTCGATTGTAGTTAACAAAAAACACAATTTTTGTAATCGCAAGTCCGAAATAAATCGACAAGAAAAATTATTCTCACGGGGGTTTCGTTTTTTTTTGGTATTATTCTTTGTAAATTGTACACCGGAGCTAAGCACACCCACGCACACATTGTTCAGTCACGAGTGCTTGTAAACAAGCCTCCTTGTACTTTTTTTTTGTTTTTTTTTGGTTAATATTGTTTTTTGCTAAATAAGAAAAAAGCGTATCAAATTAAAAAATGCCTCAAAAACGAGAAATTTTCTCTAACTCCCACTCAACTGTTTCATATCTTTCTTATAAGCAATTTTGTTTGTCATTTTTGTTATTGTGTACTCTCTAATCTATTTGTGAGGTGTGTATCTATTTTTATTTCTACAGCCTGATTCAATGAGTGTATGTGTTTATTATTTTGTTTGTTCATCTAGATATTAGCAAAAAAAATGTTCTCTATTGTCCTGTATTACAATCGATCGATGTGCAAATGGTCGGTATAAAATGAATTTTGTTATATTTTTTTTTTTCTCAAAAATGTGTGTGTGTGTTTTTTTATCAAGGCTTTTATTTTCATGCTACAACGGCGGCAAACGATTTTCCCTTGTTGTTATGCATAAATTTATTAAATCTTAATTATCGTACCGTATATTTGGATGGGTAGTTAAATATCGATCGAAACGACATTAACTCGGGGAATAAATAGTATAATGTTAACCCGCTTTATTTCCCCTGGATACCGCTTCAAAATGGGAAGCGGACAGGGGGATGAACGGAAAACATTTTTATCGAACTATACACGTTATATATTTTGTATGTTTCTTTCCAATATTCCCGAAATTGGTATTGTTACGAGATTTGTCTGTAAACCGTTTATCTACTGCTTGCCATTTTTCCAATAATTTGCCACCGTATTGGGTTGATTTCTGTGTATGTGTGTGCTGAGTCAGAATTTTATTGGACATTTTTGTGTGGGTGTGATCTGGTGTATCTGCGTATAAATTCTTCATCATGAAAGTTTATTATTATTCGATGCTTTCTTCGCATTTTTCTTAGCTCTTTTTATAATAATATCCCTTTTGCTATTTCAACATCTTTCTTATTCAAATTTTTTTTTTATCTAAATGTTAAAATGGGGTTTTTATTCGAATTTACTTTTACTTTTTTGTTATCTTTTTTCCGTTGAATTATTGTTGTTCTCTCCATTCGTCTGGTAGTGGATGTTTTAGGCTCGTTTAAAAAAAAATCTTGTTTTCTCTACAAATTGGCTTAGTTTAGTGAACTCATGCTTGCAGACATATGATTAAAGCAGAAAAATTGCAATGTGGTGGAAACGCACCGCATTTGAATAACTTTTGGTGTTATCATATCCATCAACCGATCACATCGAATAAATCGTTTCTGTTTCGACGCTATTTTGAATCTGTACGATGGATGCTTTAATGACGGATGGGATTAGGAAAAGATCTTTTAAAATAGAAAATTTAGCTCTGTGTGTGTATGTGTGTGTGTGTGGGCTTTTGATCAGGATATGAAGAAATTCAAACAAATTATTATGAAATTTCATTTTTTCATTCAGGTCAGCTATTCATCATTTGCATGTAAAAATTCATATTTAATGTATCATCATTGGTCTGAATTATTTTGTTTCATCTCTCTTTCTTTTTTTTAAATAATAATAATACAATTTGAATTTTAAATTACTATGTTGGAGCTTTCGTTGTTTTCTTTCCAATTTGAAAATCGAATGGATGCATTTTTATTTTGACGAAATCAACAACTAATTTCCGAATGATTTTCTTTGGCTGGTGTGTATCGTTCCTTTGCTGCATACCCTTGAATCGTAAATGGTGGATTTAGTTTTTCTATGTCATTATTATTTCCCGAAACGACATTATTTGTCGTCGTATTGACAGTCAATGAAGCATCATGTTGTGCGTTAGTCATTTGAACATTTGCATACGATTCCAATGTCGATGGATCCAATGTTAATGGGCCTACAAATAAAATGAAATTATCGAAAAGACAAAATCAATTTGGATGTTGGAAAACATTTTGAAAGTTGTATGGTCCATACCATTGGTCGTCTTGTTCGAATGATGATTATTATTTGAATTGTTTTTATCGATTTGGCCGTTGCCATTACCGTTGCCATTGCCATCAATGTATTGATGATTATTTATGGTATTTGGCAATTGATTTTTATGTGCAGTTAAATCGAATAAAATCGGCGGATTCACTGCCGTTGGTGTTTGTTGTGGTGTATCAAGGCTAATTAGCTTATCGCTTATAGACATTGATTGACTAGATAACATTTCACATCTGGTGGTTGGATTTGGATTTGGTGTTGTTATAAATGATGAACTATTCTGCGGTGGCATTGATCGAATATCGAATGGAGTTGATGGCGATTCATCTCCAAACGATATGGGCCCTCTTTCGATGCTTGAACTTATATCGGATGATGAAACTGGCCTCAATTCGATTGGAGGGGAATATGTTGTCATGGTTTCGGGTAAAGTAATGCCTACAAAAGGTTAAAATTTGTTTTGGATCAAACAAAAAGATATATATTTGAAAATTGTATGCATGAACAAACCTGTTCCTTCGTTCAGTAATTGTTTGGCTATTGCTCTTGAATCATTGAATGGTATTAAATAATCGGATGAGTTGGGCATTTGTAGGCAAAAATCATCATTTGCTCGCATAAGAGTTCGATCCCGTTCGTTATATGATGTATCGGAAAAGCAATACGGTATTGGTTTCTTCATTTCATTTTCATCTTCTGACAACTCGATTAATCTGTGTAATAGATATTGAAAGGTGGGACGCCGATCAGGGACTGGATTCCAACACATTGACATTAACGTGTAAATGTCTGCTGAGCAACTGTGTGGTGCATCTAAACGACCACCGCCCGTCACCAATTCCATAACCACACGATTTGGTAGGCCGGGATATGGCATTAAACCCATACTAAATACCTCCCATAGCAGAATACCGAAAGACCAAACGTCCGTTTTTGACGTAAATATTCCATCCAAAAATGCTTCGGGTGGCATCCACTTGATTGGCAACATTGCTTTGCCACCTTTTCGATAATAATCAGATCGATATATATCACGTGCCATGCCAAAATCAGCTATTTTCACTGTACGCCCGGGTCCTTTTGAGCTGAGCAAACAATTTCGTGCAGCAATATCACGATGAATAAATCTCTTACTTTCCATATAACGGCATCCACGTGCCACATCGATCGCACAAAATATTAAATCCTTTATGGTTAACGTTGATGGTTTATCAAAGCTATGACGTGCTTCACGCAAAAAATTCTTTAAATCACCACCCGCTAATAATTCGAGCACAATGAAACGCGGATGCGCGTCAAAACATACACCAATCAAATGAACGATATTTGGATGACGGAATTTTGCCATAATTGCAGCTTCCATCAAAAAATCATTTTCAGCTTGACCGGTCGACATTTCGGGTAATGTTTTTATAGCCACCGGCATTTCGACCATATCGGTGTCTTTGTATTTATAAGTACCTTGAAACACTTCACCAAACGCACCTTGACCCAGTGCTCTGAAAGTTGACAACCACAAATTAAACATATTCTCATCGTTAGTTGATCAATTTTTCGATGCAGTCTTAAAGAAATAAGCTAAAAATGAAAATGACTTACTTTGTCATCGTTAAATTCTCTCTGTTAACATGTGGCAAAGTTTTAACATCCACTGCACCAGTAAACATGCAATCGTTTCCATAGTTTGGATTGAAATTCGTTTGTTGTTGATCCTCTGGATTATGTCGCAATCGACTTAACTGTAAATCTTGTTCAAGCAACACTTTATGCCGCATCGCAATTTGTTTCTTTCGTTGATATCGATTGTCTGTGATGAAAACAATGGCAATTGTTTAATAGTCTTAAAACATTCTAATGAAATATAATAAATTCTTAACGATTCAAACTTACATAGTATGAAAATTAAAATAGCCAAAGCTGCAATTAATAGTATTGTAACAACGGCAAAGAATATTATTAAATATTCCATTGGGATCTCATTTCGGTCGATTGCTGTAAAATTACAAACAAAACACATTTTCAGCATTTGTGCAAGTTTCTCATTTTCTTTGTTAAATGTTGTTAAATGTAAGTAGCTTACGTTCACATGCAGTTTGATTTTCTTTCTTGAGTCGCCATCCTTCTGGGCATATGCATCTCACAGTAACACTGAATTCATCTAAAACGACACAACGATAATCACAGCCGCATGCTGGATGAGGCAAAGCTGGTACAATCACAACGGAACCATGACCGATATTATCACCAGCATAAACGAATGATAAATTGGCAATGCTGCGTTTAAAACCAATGTATGAAGTGCCACCTTCACCATTCATCACCGATTTAAAAGTATCACCTCCTCTATAGCCACCACCGCCACCTGTAACAATTTTTTTCAAATCAATACATTTGGTTTGTGATATGAAATTATTAGTTTTTTTTTTTTTTTCAATTCGAATTGCATTAATCAGCATTAATGCAACTAATATTAGTTTTTATGGATACAACATGCGAAATTTAATACAAAGTTGATGCATTCAACATTAAAAAATAGAATCGAATTTTTGAAACACTATTTGAATGGTATTTTTTCGAATTTGTACAAAATAATTAATTGCAGCTGTTGCGCCCGATTCAAATAAACGAAAAAAGAGATCGTATGCAACTAGAAAAACAGCAATTAATTGATTTAAATCAAACATAGAGTACAGCATAAGTCTGCACATAAAATGAAGAGTGACATATACAAATTATTATACCATACATAAATAGTTCCAGTTATCAAAAGTATTGAAAAAAACTTTTTGCGTCTGTTCAAGATAAATATTTAATAATGTAGATGTCAATTAAATTTTAACAAGCATTTAATTAAAATAAATACCATAACAATCGTTCGCTCGCTTCCGAGTGTTTGGAAAATATTTTACCATCACATGCACACATGTATGTGAATGTCCAAGACTAAATGAGATAAAATCAGAATTGGGAGCCAATTATGACATTGATATTTTTCGATTTCAATCACACAACTTAATCTGAATATTGCCAAAATCAACAATTTGTTGCTGTCATTTCGTTGAAAAATATCAATCCAATTTGGTCCTGACACTGGATTAAAGTAAATTAAAAAAAAGTACCTCCACTTCGGCATCCACCACCGCCTCCGCCAAATCCTCCCTGTCCGTGAATTCCAATTCTCTTTGACGCATAGCAAGCTTCACCACCATGAGCCCCTTCAAGCAATGCTTCTCCATTGTATGGATCCTCCGGTACGTTATCACTGGACCCACACCATCCTCCACCTTCGGAAAACCACAATGAAAAAAATGGAGATGAAAAAAATACGAACGTTTTTCTACTCATGAAAACAAATTTTAATTCATAAACTCTGAGATAGAGGCCATACTTAATTACGGAAAATTGATAGATAAATTTTTGTTGTTACCTGCACCGCCAGTATTATTAAATTCACCATTTCGTTGTCCGTTCCCTTCGCGTCGATTAGGATCGTATACACGTCCATGTTGTTGATTATCTTCGACGACATGGCCAATGCCCAAACCACCACCGCCACCCGCAACCATCAATGGAACCTCAACTCCGGCCGAATTCAGTAGAAAAATAAATGTTGCTCCACCGCCACCGCCACCAGTTCGATCATCTTCAATCACAATATCTTTAATTTGTTTGGTTTTGGAATTTGAATTCGTTGATCGGCCATTTGTACTCTTTTTATTCGATTCACAATCATTATCATCATCATTTTCTCTACGACCACGCATAAACGATTTCATGCATGCACTTTCGCCCTTTTGACCAACCAAAATATAAATCTTTTCATCTTTATGCAGTTCAAAGACTGAAATAGCCAATGCACCGCGCGATGAACCAATACCACGTGAGCCCAATCCACCGCCGGCACCTTTTGCAATTATACTGTCAAGTAAAATATTTTACAATTAAATATCAATTTATTGTTAAAGAACAATTGATTGCACAAAGCTTACGTATAATAATTTTCTGACGGTACACTCCATACTTGAACACCTTTGAATTTTTGATCTTCAATTACTTGAATTCCACTACCCGCCTCTGTATTATTGTATGCTTCACTACAATTGACTTGTGTTGGACCTTCTCGGCCACGAGTATTACATGTAGACAGCTCGATAACTGATGATAAACGGCAGCGAAAAAAGAACAAAAAAATTCATATAAATAACAAAATTAATCGATATTTTCTTTTAAGATAGCATCATCTAGAGAATGTGCACGTACTCGATTGATTTACAAAGTCAACGTGCGGTGTTTTGTCCTGTAAAATACGTTGGTCGTAATAGTTGTAGCCTTGTAAATGTTCGGCTGGTATATTCAAGCCAAAACATTCGGGACTCAAGGAGAAATCATCAATCGCAACATCGGAGAATATTCGCATGCCCATTCGGGCCTCAAATTGCAAGTAATATCTAAATTTTATTGGGGAGCATAGAATTTGAATTAGAAATTGAACGGATAATTGTACAAGAGAAAGAATTTATGAATGAGAATGTACCTCGATGTAATATTGGGCATGATTATAGAAAAGCGCTTCCAATCGCTACCAATTTCACGTGAACTCCACCAAAGTGTAGATGTAATATTTTCCTTGTCCTTAATTTCAACGACCGAAAAATTTAAGCTGCCTGTATTTTTCCCGAATTGATGGATATAGAATCGAGCCTACATTAAGATTTAATTGAAGCAAAAGTTATGAAAATTTAATTATTTTTGATGAAAATAGTCATTGTGCGTCAGATTTTGTGGTCGATAGAGAGAGAGAAAGAGAGAAAAAAAAGATGGTGTGGGTTTGTGTACATACCATACATGTTTGTTGATAGATCGAACTGGTGTTTAGATGTGCATACGGTGGTGGATTGAAAACGATGCTATTAATAACAGCATTGCTGGCAAAGCCAGATATTTTTCTTCCCGCATGTTGATTCATATTGACGAATAGATAATGTCCTGAGCTATTATAATTTTCAAAGGTATGATCAATGTCTGGGCCGGTTTTTTCAGTTGGCGTTGGTCCACTGTGTCGTTGCCACACCATAATCGCTTTTCCTACGTAGATACACCAAACGGCATACGATAATTTGGCAAACAAAACAACATCATTAGATATTACATACATACCACGCTCAACTTGTGTTACAAGCGCACAAGCATTAATCAAATGTAATTAGGTTACGTATGAAATTCAAATTCTATTATACACGTACCTGAATTTTGCCATCCACACCATCCGCTACTTTCAAAATCGCACATTCCACCGAATGGAATTTTCTCTGTGAAGAACCGAAAACAACCAATTACAAATTGAGTTTATTTATAATGAGAACGATATGCGGCGAAAATAGGAAGAGAAGGCATGTTATGATATTATTCAATTCAGTTTGTGGCTGAAGTCATTGATTCTAATTATTGCGATGACTTTGTGAAATATTTAATGGAAAGTACACCGAATTTACGGTGAAACATATACGTACGTATGCAAAAAAAAACATAAATGAAATCATTACAATTTTAAAGGAAAAATCTTTTTTTTTTTCACTTACCGCAGTTAACCATTTCATCTTCCTTATTATCGCAATCGATGTTGATGTCACATTGTTGCCGTGAACTGATACACATTTCCACTTTGTTTGCCGTACACTTGACATCCGGTGCATGGCATTTTCCATTGAGTGCTTTAATTTGATTATTTGGCTCGAAACAGCCTCTCAAACGAAGATTATCGATGCTGTAAAGATGTAATAACATTTAGATAATCGATTTGAGAAATGACTTGGATGGATGGTACAATTTTACAAACTAAGATTGCTATAGCCGGCCTAGACAGCGACACTGAGGGGAAGAGTCGTAACGGATTGACAGTAAAGTGTTCTAAATGGTTTCAATGGCATACTGTCACCATTTCCACGGATAATAAGTTTATCCGTATATCCGTTGCAGTGTAATATACCGCATATGGATAGATTTCGTACTACATTTTTACGATGTTATTTTTATGAAAACGAGCTTCCATTCCATGGCCAAGGTTTATGTATATACCCCATATGTAATATGTATGAGGTTGCCATTTGAGTTGTATGGCACATTTGAATCGAAATGGTGGCCGTATTCATAAAATCTTAAGTCCTTTTAATATGTATGTCTGAATTCGTATGTGTTGAGTTCTATCGATAGATTTTGTATCTTTGTTTAATCGAATTTACGTAAAATTGTGATACGTGTAACCAAAAGTTTGGTTTATAGTGTTTGCATTTGGATACGGTACACATTCATAAGTCATGAGTATGAAAGAGACTTAAACGAAAATCTTCTTTAAGCAATGCTTTTAATGACATTAGTGAAGTCTACAATGCGCATCGATTCAATATCCACGATTTGTAGTTTTATGTCGTTCAAGTTTTTTTTTTAAATGCAGCATCTGTGACAAATGCCTGACACAAAACATTATGCCCAACGATTTAGTTTTAGCAAATCCAGAAATTTCAACAGGAAAAAGCAAAAAGATGAAATTCAAACAAGTATTACCTAACATGACCTCGTTGTTGTGGTCGTAAACCATTTGGCACAACCTCGAATAATATTCGAAAATCCTGCGACACCCGACCAATTGGAAATGTATCCTCTTGCCATTTTCGATCATCGTTACCAATCTGTTCATTTGGCACCCACGACGATGCCGTTGTTGTATCATGCGAATTAATCGGTTCGATGACAATGCGTAATTTACCATTTTTATTACCACTTTGATGAGTGAACATTTCGAGGCGGCATGACTCTTTAGTCATACCGAACATCGGTGATTTGAGCGTTCGTATTGTGGTCGATGGTGTTATGCGTAAATGAAGAAAATGACCTGTAACAAAAATCAACGAATATGATTCGTTTAAAATTCACTTTATTTGCTATAATTTCGATTATGGATAGTTTAATTTTCAAGAAATTTCTTCAAATTGGTGTGTAATGAAAATGAATTTAATTCAAAATAATTTCAAATAATTAAAATAAAAGTGCGAAATACAACATTTACCATTGACATCACCTGTATTATCAGCACTTGGTCCGGGCGGCAAACCGGTTTTCGTTAAATTACTGCCAGTTACCAATTGAAATGTTTCATTCTGTGTTATATCCCATTTCCAACGGCATTCCGTTTCGAAATTACATCGAATTCCTGCTGCCTCTTCAGCTTGTGTATTTATGTTTTGTGAATCTTCTCTCATACGTTGGGCAGCCTAAATGTGAGCACAAAAACAAATGCAATGAAAAATTTTATTCAACAATTTAAATGGTAAATATTTAAACTAATGTACAGATGATTTGTATGACAATGGTTGCAATTATCAAGGTAAAAATATATACGGTTTGCAATAACATATGACTAGAATGGCAGCTTATAAGAGCTTGCTTAACTCAAGAGAGACGTTGTTAGACACAAAACAACAAATATACGAAATTTATATGTTTGGCCAAATAAAACACACAACACCAACATGAATGTTGACAATGATAAACAGAAACGACTCCTTATGTGCTGAAAATTATGGAAGTAAGTTGTACATTCCACAACCATTCGACCCATTTGCTGTCTGATTTGTGTTGTTTCTGCTTCATAATTTATTCAACACTGCACACAACTTCATCCAGAACAATATATATAAAAAAAATCCACGTCATGTGAGTGAATGTATGTGTACACAGAAGTCCACTTAAAAATACGTTGAGACTAACGCAGAGCATCTTGGAGACACTTTAATAATGTCACTGAAATTATAACACATACCCTCGTTTTCTCTAAAGCTTCGATGCAATTTTCGAATTTTATTTCGAATTCCGTTGATTTTCATTGTGAAAATTCTGTTGAAATAATGACGATGAATGGGATTTGATTAAAGCAAAGTATTTTCCGCATCAAGATGAGGTTTGCTTAATTCAATGAGAGATTGAACATACATACCATACACACACACTCACACACGACAAGCACATAGATACAACGAAGAGGTGAATTTGTCACAAAGTAATTTAATGAAATTGCATTTCATTTCGTCGAGGTATTAAATTATATCACGACTCGAGAATCTTGGTGTCCTTCCTCTTTTCATTATTCTTGGTTTTTTTCTTTTTTGCATATTCAATGTTATGTACCACTGTTATATATTTCGATATATTGAATTCGTATAATATCCTGAAAACAATGGCCGTATTTTTGTATTTACACGTGATCCTAATCTCAAGATGAAAACGAGGAACTTCCACAGTATTAATATGGTTGGCAGAGAAAGAAAATGTGATACATTTTGAAATTGACAGCATAAATATTTCTCTTTCATTATGAATAATGATGAAAAAAATGAAGCCTGTATCAGTGAGTGTCGTTTGCAGAAATGCGATAAAAAATTTACAGACGAAGAGATTTTCACAATTTGTATTTGGGTCATGTATACGTTTTACTGATGCAGAAAGATTGGAACTTTGTGATTTTTTCTGTTTTTAGTTGACACAAGGCAGCGCCACAATTGATGAGAAAAAATGTAGCTTTCGTCGAAAAAATTGGAATATGAGCGAATGGCGGCGGAAAAAAGAACATTCGGTCGCCACCACGGTGTCTCATATAAGTGGGCCACTACTGAGGGTATAAACGTCGTTTTTCTTTTTTGTTGGTATAGTTTTCAAAAATCTACTCCGATAGAAATTCGTAAACATTTATTTCCTAAATTTCTATCGTAGCAGATTTTTAAAAATTATACCAAAAGAAGAAAAAATGGAAATTTATACCCTTAGTAGTGGCCCACTTATATGAGACACCCTGTATAGTCTCTAGACAGATAGTGACTATAGTTTCAAATGTTTTGAAATAATGAAAATTCATTTTGTGCGAATATTTTCATAAAAATAAATTTTGTATCAATTAAATAATATCATTTAAAGAATAAAACTTGGCTTGATTTTCGAAATTTGATAAGATGTTGTTTGTCCCGTTTTTTTACGATGTACATTTAAAAACATAAGATTGAAAAAGAAAAATGGATTGAGCAGAGTGCTTGTCCAATCATATAAATCTTTGCAGCAAAAATCTATTTTCAATTATGTTGTTTGATTGTAAATAGTTTATCCAAGATAGTGATCGGAAAAAATGCATGCTACCAATTTGAAGCCAAAGTCATAAACCATGTATTTGACATCCATAATTTTCAAAAGTCCCGAAAAAAGCGAATTGAATTTTTATCAAGGGAAAAATCATTCTTTTCCATACACTTTTTTAAATGGATACATTCATAAGAATTTCTTCAGAAACAGAACAATACTATGTTAGCGTTCCGAAAAATCTTATCTTTTATATAAAAAAATGCATAAAATTACGTAAATTGCTTTTTATTTGTTGTGTTTTCTTCAAAATTGAACTACATTTCCACACGAATACTTAAGATACACGGTCGTTTAAGGATTGAACTCATATTTCATTCGAATGACCTTCAGATAAAATCACGTTCAACGTATTTACTCCCATTGTAATGCACCACGAAAAATGCAAGCAACAAAAAAAAAATTTACTCGTATGAACTATATAGTTTGAGTTTAGTCCTTTTATATGCGTTTTCTACTCATGTATGTCGCATAATAAAACGACTTAACCTAATAATAAATTTAAATATGAACGCATAACAGATTCTTCATTTAAAGTTTTATGGTTAATTCTTGTTGACTGACAGTTATTGTGATCGTTGATATCTTAACAATTTTCATAAAAGCTGCATGTTCATTTTAATGCCATTTAGTTTGGGATATATGAATGTGTGGTTTCGTGATGAAGACAAAATATAACCGGCATCATTTGGAACGTCAACGAGAGAGACGAAGACAGATTGAGTTAGAATAATGAATATATCCCACGCAAAAGTACATCATTAATTTGTTGTTTTATTAAAATCGCTTGGAATGGTTGAAAAAAAAATATTATTTTGCAAATAAACGGTGAAACGGAAAGGGAGCAAACGTTGACGTTTCTATCATTTTTTCATTCTCTCTTCTCTATTCGTCTACATATTGCTAACATTAATTTTAAAAAGTTTACATTTGCAGTTGAATTTGGCAAAAATTTGCTCAAAATATCAAAGTGGATTAAAGGAAACACGAACATTTCGAGTATTTTCAACGCAACTAACCTTCGTGAGGCACTCTCTATTATTTTTCACATGTTTATTTGTGCACAACCCACAATCAATACCAAAACCGGAAATTATTTCGTCGAATACATGAATAAATGTCTATAGAGAATTAGACATGTACGGTACAGGTAATTCGTCACACATTCATTCGCCATAAATGTATGTTGTATTCGTTGCAAAGCTATCTCGTGTGGCCAATAAAAAAATGCTAATATCAAGTCAAAGCAATTGAAGAAGGTCACGCTACTTAGCTTGTTGTTCGTTTATCTCTAATGTTTGGGTTACCTCAAGTAGCTTGAGCGAATAAATCCCAATCAATATGAAAAACACTTATAGATTATCAGCTTTATTCGACGAACAAAAAAGGCAAATTGATTTCATCTTGTGAAAGCTCTGTACCAATTTGTATTGAGAGTATTTAACTTTCTATGAATCTTATCAACTATTTATTTGCGTATGTTAAAGTGAAATGTGGTTAAAAAATCGCTCTTCTTTTTCTTGTTGTTGTTATTTGTATAATTTCTCTTAGATTTATTTCATTTATGAATAATGAAACCCACTCAATTTGTGATAATTATTGAATTAATTGAATTGAAAAGCAACGGAACACTTACTTTTGCCACTTGCGAAATTGGTTTGTTTGTGTTTAATTACATTTTCATCCAATATAAAATTCAATTATTCATCTCCCGAATATTTTCAGGCAAACGTTAACATTATTTCGTACAGAAACTAGATGGCGCCTGTAAATATCAATGCATGTGTTGGGGTTGCTCTCTTTTTCATTCACATTAAATACCTTTAGTTTCTTTAGGGATTTCATCAATCGAAAGTGACGCAATCCGTTCGTGAGATATTTCATTTGAATGCATTCGGTTCGTTTGACCTTTTTTCATTTACATTTATTTCCCGAGAGTTGAAAACGCTACTGCTATACAATAGAGACTCGGGAAACTTAATCCTTAGAAAAGTTAAGCAAATTTTGGCTACCATGTAATGTATTGAATATTAAATTTTGACTCAACACTTTGGAACCAGCAACATTTTATGTTTGGTTGTATTTGCTAAGCTTTTTCTTTGAAATGTATTAACAAATATAGATTGTTTTTTGGCCAAATTCGTCATCGCACAATATTGGCAGCATTTCTGAAGTATAATTAAATCAAACTTCGTCAAGAACATTCCGATTATTCGATTAACTTTTCCGAGTTGAAACCAACAAATAGTTGAAAAAAAAAAATACAAAACTAAAATGGAGCGAAAAAGCAAGAGAATGTAAAACTAACGATAAGATAAAATATGACCAAACACTTTCTTTATCTGATTTTTCGTCTTTTATTCGAGTGAAAACCCAAAACAAATCCTGCAAGCAAAACAACATAAAAAAATTGATTAAAAACTGCAAATCCAGCAGTTATAATAAGCAATTTTGCTATTCACCAAAAATAATAAAATCCCAAAACAACACTTCGTTCGACCAAAATCTGAAAGCCAGTTTGCTGGGTCATAGGTGTGTTTTATTTGTGGGTGTATGTTTAAATTTGATTTGCAGAATGGTTAATGAACCTGCTGTATGTACGTTTGAAACACCATCATTTGGCCCATGTTCTTTCATTGTGTTATAAGTGTTTTTCTTGTGTGTGTGTAGCAAGCTTACTTCCATAATCTTTTTATTCAAAACATATCGTTTCAAGCATTCAAAATAACCACTGATATCTCACACAAGAGACACTCTTAAAATATATATGTTCTCTTAGCATTTTTCTTTTCTTTTCAAAGTTTTATTCATATCAACACACTTTCCATTGTACACAAGTGTCTTACAAGCTTTTGTTTTATTAATGAAAAAAAAAAAATTACCAAATTGAGCACGATGTTACCCAGTTGAATTCCCAAAACTTTAAACTTTATGAAAATATTTGCCGAAAGATCAAACATATGAAGTATTTTTGAATCGTGTAGTAAAAGAAAATTCAATTTTTCAGATAATTTTACGATTTTTAGAAGCCGAATGGAGCTTACGTGTCTATCATTCAATAGGTCTATTATCCTATCATAATGTATGGTGAGACTACTGTAGTGTATTTTCGAAACATTTTCTACCACTGAATGTTACCTCTGAAACTGAAAATCAATTACTCTTTAAAATGTGTGATTAAATTCGCATGCACAACATGTGTTTGTTGTGGATAATAATAAGGTGCATAAATGACATGATATGCTTACAAGCATTTCAAAAAATCGAATGCAATTGACGGTTCAAAAGCTCAATGTTTATGAATCCGCTACTCATGCTCCATTGCCGTTAATAATGATGATCAGCGAAATGATAAGCAAGACAATCGCTGTAGTACGACTATAAATCAACACACAAGATTAATATATGACGGTTTCAATTTTATAAAAGCGTGTAGTGTGTATGGCAATGACTAGGAATAACAGTCGCTCTTATTGTTTTAAAATGACGTGAGCTTTTTCGAAAACCCAACACTGATATAGGGAAAGCGAGAAAGCATGAATGAACTATTTATGGAGTCCTGTGGATGTAGTATGGTTTTATTGAACGTACAGAATTTTACTGCAACATAAAAACATACATACATGGCTCACATCATCGGCAGTACAGCATACAAACATGTATATTTACGCACGTTTAAAAGCGTTGTATCGTTTTCCCGAACATACAACGCTAATAATATACACATACACGCACATCATGTATCTACCATAAATATTTGTGATAAATTTTATTGGTGTTAACGGTGAAATGCAGCGAAATAGTTTTATGGGTTGGACGCATTGTTTTCTATCTCTCTTTTATGCGTTTTCACTCACATCAGTTCTGGTGCATTGTTGTTGTGCAAACATTGAAGACGCGCGAAACCAAAGGTCGTTCAAAGGTGATTATTTTATTACACTTTCGTTTTTGTCGGAGCACTTTAGCTAAAGAGCGAAACCATGTGTTACGTTCATAATATACTTTCATCTATACAATATAGTTCTTAGACGAGAGATAAAATGGGACCCTAACATTGCACATATTAAGATTTGTGCATATAAAAAAATGACACTACGAAGATCTTTATACTTGGTTTAAACATTTTTCAATTTTTCAAATTGTTTTGCGGGATTTTAAAACGGTTTAGAATGGATTTTTAGAAAATGAAAACCTTTTTTTAACCTGGAGTCCAATTACAATTACCTAAACCGACCTTCATGAATTTTGAATAGCCAAACGGAAGTTGAAGACCATTGTTTTTTTCCTTGAATTTTCCATTACATGTTTATGCTCAAAAAATATTCTCGGCAAACACATACGACACAGAACAACTGATTTTTTTTTGTGTCCATATACAATTTGTGCAAATCACTTACCTTTTCACTTTCTTTGATTTTCAGTTGGATGATGTGAATTGGATTACTGCTACGATGCAATGAATTTTGATCTGGATCATCATTTTGTCGTTGCTCATATAATTTCTGTTTGTGTCGCAATTCGTTCATGCCGCCTCGACTTCGATTATTTGGTTTCGAAAAACCATATTGATACGGACTTTGATGCTGGTGCTGATGTTGTTGTTGTTGATGTTCTTGATGCTCTCGTGTTCGTATCGATTGTGACCCAGTTTCATTTGCCCATCGCAAATGTTCACCATACACTGGGCCGATTATCACACCGATTACGCCGCAAACGAACCAAATGATTAAATAATATTTTAATCGATGCATATTTTGGTTGCGATATCGATAACAGCGTTAAAACATTCACACTTAGATCAATTAAACGGCATTTTTGCCTAATACATAATCTCATTGTAGCAATTAACTTGCATCATTATCAGATCACGAATAAAATCCATGCGGCTAAATCCTTCCGAATAACGTTGGTCGTATGTATTGTCTCTGTATCGTCGCTTCTCTTGTTTCTCTGAATAAATAAATTTAATCGTAAAGGGGATTCGTGTTTTCTTTCTCTGAATCGATGTGGTCAACTGTTTTCGTTAAGATTTGTTTCTACAAAACTTTTGATCACTGTTAGCACTTTAACGGGCACAATTATTATTTTCTTTCCTTTTCTTTTGTTTCGATATTTTTCACACAATTTCCGGTGAACATTTGCTCGTTTTCATTCTTTTTTCTCGACGTAGGTGTCAAATCACACTTTTTTTTCTCTATTTTTGTCCGTAAATTCGTTCGAGAGTTTCAGTCCTCTTAAGGGACTGCTTTCGTTCGTTTACACGATTCAACACTTAACATTTCTATAGCACAACGGTTTCTTCTTGTCCCGCACACTAAATCTTTTTGTTTTTCGCAATCAATAATTCATAGACTTTTTGCGTACGCGCGTGTGTGTTTGTTTGTATTAAAATATTTCGCACTCATTTGTTTGGGCTATGTTTTTATGAGTAAATGTGTTTATTCTCGTTATGGTATCTCCTCTTTTCTCTCTCTCTGGGTCTTTTATTCTGCTTACCAAATTGATCGAGTGGATTTGTTTTGATTATCAGATTTACATCCAATTTCTTTCGCTATCGTCCGGCTGGCATTCATCTATAAAGAGAGAGAGAGAGAGAAAAATATAACAAAAAAATGGACATAAGATGACGAACGTGCACATGAAAAAATAAATAATTCAAGCAAATATTTCATAAAATTAATTCGCAGTCAAGTTGAAATGAATGGTAAACTTTTCGTTTCGCGCATAATATCGTGTTGAAATGTGCGTACGACGCTCCAGTGACATTGTTCTATTTTATTGTGAAAATGTGGACCAAGTTTTGAAGTATAAATAACATATTTTCTACGTGGGAAATTTATCCAATTAAAGTAATATGACTGCGAAAATATGACACTGTTTAGGACCGAAAATTCGTACACACGCAACGCAAAGAAAATGTAGTGACGTGCAATGGACATCAATCACATTCGTCCTTTTCGTTGATCATCAAAAATAAAGAGCGCCGTCTCTATTTTAATTCAGAAAACTTAAAATTACTTTATTTGTATTATTCATAACATTGCGCCAAAGAGTAAATGATGCATTTTCGCATTCCATACCATTATCAAGCACCAACATTTGAACGGATGGCAGCACATTTGAACATTCATCAAAACCGAATGAACATCAAAAAATTCGGGTGTATTTTCTTAACTTTTTCAGTCAATCAGAATATAGATACTTCTATTGGTTTGAGAAAGAAGGGGGAAAAAGTAAAATTATAGAATGTTGTTTCAATTAAAATTTAATTCTCGCCATCTCTTCATTACATCAATTACTGGCAGGCAAGCATGAGAGAGAACACAGAAAGCAACACACACCAACACACAATCCATAAATTCAACGATAGAAATAGAGTGGGAGTAACGTGATTTATATCCAACGAAAGAGAAAACCGCTTTCATGTGTTTCCATTTAACTCGTCACCGAGAATGAATAAGCTATCGCAAGATCATATGAACATTTTTCAGCTAAAGTTAGATTCGACACCAAATATTAACTAAAATATACCAAAAGAACCAGACATGCCTCACCATATGTCATCTTCAAATGAAACGCATTCGAGAAAGCATTGAATTGCAAACGATTAATCTTTTTTTTCTTTTCATTTGGCTTTTTTTCTACTGTGCGTTGCTTGGAAGTATATTTTGGTTTTAAACTAAGAAATCGTCTAGATAATTTTATTTATCTGAAAAATCAACCGTATTTGCATTTTAGGGTGCTGGAATCTTTGGAGAAATATGAGAGAGAGAGAAAAAGACAAAGACAAATGAACAATTTTGGTTGTTCAAACACTTTCACTGGGAATTCTTTCTTGAGATGCTCTTCAAAGAAGAAGCTACTTTTATTTTGTTTCTACTCTTAGTCATTTAAGTGTTGCAAACGAATTACCAACAATATTGAACTAAACAAACCAAACCACAGGCGAAGACAATGGACGGTTACTTATAAATAAAAAGGTTAGCCACCTGAAGAAGAATTTAAAGCCAAAACAAAAAGTATTCGCTTTCGTCGCCTTTTTCCATCGCCCATTTGAAGTTCGCATTCTCTCAATTACAAAATGATGATAAGTATTTCGTGAAGAACTAATTAATTACACGGAAAATGCGCCACCTCGTCAAGCAAAATTAGTTAATACAAACTCCACACTCTTAAGTTTTTCTTCGTCTTCTGTTTTCAATTAAACTTAAATACATACAAAACACTCAACGAGATGAATTCGAGAAGAGAGAAAGGCAGCAGAGGGTTTCAAATTAAAACAATGTTAACACACTTAAATGAGATAAGGCATAAAATGCTTATCTAGATTTTTCATAAGCATTAAAAATTCAAAGCAAAAAGCATTTCAGAGCGTTTCTGCAGTGTATGGTAGTAATTTATTAATATCTTTCCGCCGGAAACGTTCATGACATTAGGTTATTAGGCCAAGATTAAGGTGGCTCAATATATTTAGTGAATGATTTTATGAACGATTCGTAGAAATAACGGTAATTCATTGAGACTCATTGATTTGACGAAATGTATATCAAATATGCCTGAATAATGTAGCTTAGTGACCCAGGCAATGGAGCTGTAATTGATGAGGATGATATATGTCAGTGTCGTTTGATTTCCGTTTCGTAGATTTATCCATCACATCAATAGAGATGGAATATAATACAAACATTCCTATGCAAATACTATAACATAAAATTCTTTAGATGAAGAATCAGCGGTTTTGATGAACATAAGTGGTTTTTATTACTATTGAATCAGCATGCGTTCTAGGGGAGACATGATTCATATGCTTCATTGTGATTTGGATTTTTTTGAGTTGATTTGAATCGATTTGACAATACAAATTCAAAGCATCAAACTTCAAACATCAAGCACCACTTCTAAACATATTTTTTTTAAACCAAAAATTCAAAATTCAATGTAATTCAAAATGATTTAAAATATTTAAAATTTACTGCAAAGAGATTTATTTTAATGTCCGTAGCAGTGCTAAAGTTTTCCATTTTATACAGTCTCTTATAGGGCATAATTTCGGTTTGGTTCTATTGGAATTGTTGTCTCCCCCCTATGATACGTTTGGATCTTTTGAAGTTAACGTTTGGAATGTTAAGTAGCGACATGTTATTTTGCCGAACATACACAAAACACATATGTTATGTCTGGTTGAGAATATTTTCCTGTGCATTTAAAATGTTTTTTTATGAATTTTGTCGATTTGATTGTAATTTTTTCAGATTTTGCATTTCTATGAGCGCAAATGTTGTTAATTAAACGACTGCAAATGAATGAAAATTTGCTTCATCAATTTCAAGTCAGTTGGCTTCCTCTAATCCTCTTTTGCTCTCATTTTTTCCCCACGCATATAATAAATGAAATGCAGCATTTCGTCGGAGAGATTTAATTCCCCATCGTCTCGAATTTCTTTTCGGTTCAACTGTTATCATTATGACAAATTTGATAGAGCATGAAGCAAATCTGCTACCATTGCTTTCGTTGAAATGTTAATGCGTATGAAACTTAATGAACACCCACCAGCACACTTTCTCTTTCAAGTGCAGTGAAATGCATGGTGCTTATCATTTCCGTTGCCATAGCTATGCTTAATGTAACGGGTGAAACGGATAGCATGCTGTTGTTGGTGTTGTTGTACAGTTTTCCCTTTTCGGATACAGTAACCAGTGCTCCGCGAACGAGATGGTATTTGAACGAAGTTTCATTTCCCGTTTACATTAAAAGTTTTTTTTATCCATTTTCAAAATAAACGTGATAATGACACGTTTCTATGAAATATTTTAATACAGAGTCGTGTACGATTCAATGAACCATTCGCTCTCACATTTCATTTCTTTTACTTCAATGTGATTCCTTGCTTCAATTTTCATTTCTATCGTAATCATCATCTGAAAAAAAATTACGTTTCAACGAATAACAAAATTGACAACATTACTTTAGAATTCCAAATTAAGTTCTTAGTTTTTTTTTATTGCAAATTAAGTTCCTAGGTTTTTTTTTTTAAATGAGCTCACATTCTTTAATATGAAACCAGTTAGTGCCCACATAATATTCAAATATGTAGTATTTTGTAAAGTTTTATGTAATTCGGCTTCACTATCCATGAAAGTTTATTTGGGGATGACATGGAGAAAATGAGGAAGACAAAAACCCAAAAGGATGACCCCAACTGACTTTTTTCCAGCAATAGTTTTTTCCACAGTTTGTCCATTGGAAATGAAAAATCATACTTCAACTTTTATTACATTTTTGGGCGAATTTTGGTTTGAATTTTCATACAAACAATATTCAAACCAGCATAACCTTTTTGCCATAAAACTGAATATTTAACTTAAATGTTTGAATTAATGATTCGGATAGCAATTCTTTTTTGCGCTTAAAACGAGTGGAAGCGTTTAAATCGACTTTTTATGTGATAAAATAATTCGAAGTGATAAGTACAAATGTTATTTGTGAAAATAATCGCGGTAAGAAACCGTTATTATTGTTTGATTGGATCGTCACCACAACTGGATATGGGAAATATGTATGAAATATGTTCCCGCTTAAGATGACAAAAATCGACCTTTTCCGTTCTCGCTACCTTCTTCTTAAAGAAACTTAGGTTTGCCATTTCTCATTTCCCGTCAAAACTTTTTTTTTTTCAATGACCGCATTCAATTGAATTTCCATCACGAGAGCAACAAGTAGCATAAAGAGAGTAATGCAAATAATGGTTTGTATACGTTTGCAACATCGTTCAAAATTCCAATGTGTACTATTTGATTCACACAAATACAAACGAGCGAGAAATGCGCCCGAATAATTGTATATATTATGCTCGATCTCAAACTGTGCAACAACAAAAGGTAATAATCCTCACACGCTAGCATATTTGTTTGAATATCGTGTTATCAGTTGCTTTACGTCTGCGGCTATTTTTGGAAATCGAAACCCGAACAAAACATTCCAATGTTGATATGAATATTCAACTTGCTTAGTCACTCAATCACTCTCTAGATCTCTCTCTCTCTCTCTCTCTCTCTCTCTCTCTCTCTTTCTCTCTCTCTCTGAATGCTCACCATCGAATAAAGTTCAACAAAAACAAACAGAAACCGATATGAATATTGAAAATAGCACTATGTTCGTCACAACGAAGAAAAATCTCATCGATTGCGTGGTAGCTTGGTAAAACTTGGCTCTATGTTCATTAAGAACGAGAAACGGTGGGAAGTTAAATACGTACAACATAAAATTGATGTTCTTTATCGATCAAACGAAAATGAATGAATGTTTTCTTCTTGCTATAAAACTATTGAAGAATTATTCTATTTCGAACATCATGTACGCCAATGCGATAATTTTTTTTAAAAAAAAGTATGTTTCTTATCTTTCACTTTAGTTTTAAGTGATATACAAATATTTCCGGCATCTTTCATTTGCATGATTGATGACTTCCTACAAAATATTAGAACGTATATAATCAAACAGTGGTAAAAGAAAATCAAGTTCATATTTCGAAAATGAATGTTTAAAACTATGGATGGTTCGAAATAATGAGTGA